ACAGCTTAGAAATACATTGTATACGCAAACGATACAAACGATACAAATAAATCATCGTATTGAGTAAAGTACTAAGTACATATTTGGCAACGAGTAATAAATTACGAACGTACACGTATCACAGCCATTTAAATAGCCTAGAATTTTAGATTTATAAATGGTACGAGTATCGAGCAAGAAAAATAAACGGAACGTATTCTTCGTAACCGAAGGTACAATAATTATCCGGAAACGTACTACACCAAGCCATACGTTGCTCAGAGATTATCGTTGTCCACAGCATTCTCTCAAGGCTATAATCAAAAGTACGTCGACATACATATACGTACACAAATCATGCTTATAAATTTAGTACAATAATGTAGATAATAATTGTATAAGTAAGGCTGCTGATTGAACGCACTCCTCTTGTCCTATTCGAATGCGATTCAACGTTCTCTCTTCGTTTTAACGTAGTCGCCAGCGATACCGTTGTATCTTCAACCGCATCCACCGATCAAAATGGATTTTCACGGCGTTGCGCCCCGCCAATAAATCGACACTCGATCGGAAATAAATGCGATCGCGTGCAAAACTTCTATAAAACGAAGAGAGAGAGAGAGAGACACAGTTTAATCGTCCAGTGTCTCCTGTGTAATGATCTTACGACGATGCATAGGACTAGGGTATTCAATGATTTCAATGTTCTTCCTAGTTTTAGAACATGGCAGTAGAACAATAGTACACCCGATACCTCGTCGCAAAGACGAAGTAACTCGACCTACTCTGACCCTCTAATCCTTTAAACATTATACCATTTAGTAACATTATCGATATATTATTACTTTTTATTTACCAGAAGAGTTCCTTTCCATAATAACGATGTAAAACAAATTACAAAGGAAGAGAGCAGCTCTGATGCTAAGAGAAGCAAATATCTTTCTTGAAACGCGGTTAACCGCTACTTCTTTCGATCGATTCTTAGACTCTTAAAAATTTCTTTGCTTACGCAATTATATAGGAATGGAGAAAACCCGAGTTCGCGATATGTACACAGCACAGGTATTTAATTTTAGTCGCTTGCGGAATTTAAACATCCTGATAATACGATATATAATTTCTTCCACCCTTCGAGTTATTACGCCCTTGCTTCAAGGTAAGATAGGTTTTCGGATACTGGTGTATCTTAACGATTATTCGCTTGGACTTTGCGCTGTATTCTTGATAATGTCTGTCGCTGTGAATACCATGTGTAGATTGATATAAGTCTAATCCCGCGGAATCTTTCGCATGAAATACGTCCCTCGATAGTGTTCGAAGCTAGCTAGATGACTATGCAATATACCCCTTTGCGCGTTTCTTCTCTACCTGGTGGCTGCTTTTCTCCTCTCGTCTTTCAGCGGATTTACGCGTTTCGTTCGTTAAATGGAAATCTCGTCGGTTGAAGCGGTAAACGTGCGGTCTGCTTACAAAGTGGGTAAGTGAACGTTAAAAAAATGTATTTAACTATTAAAGTCTATTCGATGGTTTATAAATACTAAAAAAGTCGCTATCCTTATTACAAATCGTTTCGTATTTCGCAGTTCGAAGGATTTACACCGCCTTCTTCTTAGCTGTCTCTATAATACAAACGAGCGAGTCTGCAGTTTATTATTTCCCCCACAATTAATACGGATATTTAATGAGTGTGGTGTTTTTTTTTTTTGTTGTTTTTGCACCTCTTTATGTTATCTAAATAATTCTCGAGGAAAGATATTTGTCAACTTTGTTCCTCGAACGCTATATCAAGGATCGCGACTAGAATGGATATGAAACTTCGAATAGAAACTCCGTATGCGATTGAAAAGTAAAAAATAGAAAAATAACTCTTTCTTGGAGACTCGGAGAACAACGTTTAAAGCAACATTTGAATAATTTCCGCAATGTTAGTTATCGTCGATACTATTTCGATCTGCGATGAAAAACAGCGAGCCGAATAAATGGGAAAAATGTGGATCGCGAAATCGTATTATATTATGAACATAACATGATGTTATAAACATGGGGGAAACAGGGAAGAAGGGTTGTGATCCCGTTTCGATTTTTCGAATCTGGAGAAATTCGGTCCCGTTGTTGAGGCCCTCGAGGAGAAATGGTTTGTTAGTACGAGGACAAGTAATTCTATCGTCGTTCATCCGAATTGAAACTTTCCAAGCTGATAATACGACTCGTTATGAATGCTTTGCTCCGCTTGAAATATATTCACGTTCGTAATTCCTATGTGTTTTGGTTTCGGCACGTCGAAAGGAAAGATGTGTAAAAAAATAAAATTACACGTACAGTGGTAGTGAGATTCAATTTGATCGTGTAAATTATCTCGCCAACGTTTCAGCGCTAGTTTTCTGATAAACCTTTTCTTTAACCAACGCGTATCATTGAAATGAAATTACTCCGTAGAATTTCCATAAGTGAAACATATACGAGTTATCTACGCTATTCTCGTATTCCGTATATGTAAAAAAAAGAAAGAAAAAAGAAAAGTATGAAATCTAATGACCGGAAATGAAAGCAGAAATCGGAAGCAGTGATGCAGATGGTGGCTTTAGTTGGTCCCGAACATGAGTTACTCAGGTTTGTGTACAAATCTCTATCGGTTGATAAATGAAAGATTCGAAGTACATGTCAAACACAGATCACACATCTCCAATTAATACGTTCGATTTGTTTCGATAACTGCACGTAACAAACGATATATAATAAATCAACTAATTTTTTTCTCGTTCATTGTAATTGTACCTTCTATACCAACGATGAAGATTACCTACCTCAAGGAAAATAAAGCGAATTTGGTACAAAACATTTTAAAGGAACGAATTATAAAAGGAAGGACGATAAAGACACAAGTTAAAACGAGCACGATTTCTGCACAAACCCATTGTAAAAGTCGCGCATGGAATCGTGTCGATCGTTGCATTATGGATCTCAGCTTATGGTAACGCTGCGCGTGTCGAACGTAATATAACATCTCTCCCTCTCTCATTCTCTCTTTCTTCTCTCCACTCTCTCGTTCGATCTTCCTTTCTTTCTTCCTCATTCTCTCAAGTAGCATTTTAAACATTATGAGTTATCTATTAACCTATACGGCCCTACGATATACGGATGAATGTTCCTTTGGCAGTTTATTTACATGCGAGTTGAGCCACGGCGCCGAAAATATCATACGGCAACGAATTTCGATGTCGAGCAACCTGTGAAGCACGGAACATTTTGAAAAGTCGCGAGACACGTTAAAATCAATAGATTCTTTTCTCTCGTGTAGCGAACTAGCGCTTTTGAAAATGCTTCGTCTTGGATGGAGAGTGTCGTTGCGGGTATTAGCGAGTCGATCCGCCAAATGTTCCTTAAAAATCGTTCATCAGAGTATTTGCAAATAGTATACGAGTATAAAAGGGGCCTTGAAATGTTTCGATCTAACGTTTCCTTCGTTTCTGTTTATCCATCTTGAGAATGTTCATGGTAATCATAATTTTAACGTAGCGAATCGCTCCAAGTTTCATTTTATATTTACTTCGTGTTTCGTAATCGAAATAGAAATAATTACAGAGTTATAATCAATAGAGGTGAAACATGATTTTAGCAGGGTAGCGTTAACTACTTTGCTTTGCTAGAAAATTCTACTCGAAACAAACACAGCGGTTTGTTATTGTATCGTGAAAAAATTGTTAAAAGAATAATTATTGGAACCTGTAATACATATATATTCTGATATATATTTTTTCTATTTTGCTTTATATCGCTTTAGCTTAAATGCAGTATAGCGAAATACTATTAGAAAGTGGTTTGTTTTTACAGAGTGTAATAGTATGTTATAATAGTATACTATCGATAGTACTAGCATATAAATAGTATGTTATTATAACAGTATTATAATAAGTGCATTATCAATGTCATATAGATATCATGAAATCATTCGAAGCTTTAAAACTTGCAAAGTATTACAAGTGTGTCTATGTTTGTCATCTGTCAACTGCTAATTTCAACGAAACAACACTCTCCATTTACCAGCATGATCCATAGCTCAACTGCAGCTACCGTAACCATGTTATTTACAGAAACAGTACGATCATATAATTGAGATATCTTGCGCTGTTAGTTCCATTTAGTTTTGTACCGCCGTTTTCCTCGTCGTTTTCACTGGCAGTGTCTCCCTTTGTCTCGACAATAGTATCCAGTCGGTCCATCGTACCCCTCTGGTGGTGATGACTACTTGATAAGTCACTTTCAGGCGTCTCATCCGAGTCTACGTCGATCATATGGTCGTTAACCTGGATTTTGACTACAGCATCTACCGGGTACTTTCCTTCGTCGCTCGATGACGTTGTTCCCCTTTGTGATCCTACCCTGCTCGATAATATTCTGTCATTTTTTTCGCAACGAGGACAATTCTGACCATTCGACGAACCTTCGTCGCTCTGACATCGGAAGCATATTAAATCACCTTCGCTGGAAAAATCGCAATGTTCGCATTGAACCACATGACCGTTTCCATGACAGACTTCGCAGACAGGACTGTCGTCGTCCTGCTTTAGATCTCTGTCTTCGTAGTCCCTTCGGTCATGCTCCTGTTCGTATTTCTTGGGCCAAACTCTTCGATACTCTTGATCACGATACAACGACCTAGGCGAGGAAGATTGACCGCTATGCTCTTGATCGTGACATACCGACCGAGGAGAAGACATATGAATCGGGCTTTTGTATGTGCGGGAAGTTCCTGGTTCCTGAAGTCGATCGTCGAAACGTTCCTCGACGTATCTACTAGAATAGGAGCCAGGCGTTTGTGGTCTGTACGTGCAGGTACGGGTTTTCTGATCACATTCGCTGCATAACAATAAGTTTGACTTGCTGCCAGGCTGCGAAGCGTAACCATTGCAAGTGCCGTAATATTTCTCGTCTTCGTCGCTTTCGAAGAAATGTTGACTGAGGCTACCAATCGATTTCGTATCGCTGGATCTACCGGAGATTCTAGTTTCTTCCAGTTCTTCTCTGTCATCTGCCGCGTATCTGTAATAAAGTTTACACGCATGAAGAGATTATAAAAATTATACGCTACGTTTTACACGGAATTTGCTTCGACTGGAAACTCAGCAACGGTGTTTCGAGACAAATGCTTTGGCACTCGATCGAATACTCGTCATCTTTAAGGTAAGGTAACAACTTTACCTGTCGTCTGTAGCGTCAGCCAAATAGTGTCGTATTCGCGCTATCTTTGTTTTGCCGCGCTCTCGCGGCCTTGTTTCTTGTTAAATGATACTTTCTCGATTTCGCTCGTTGTTATCTTCTAAACTGGACGACGAGCTGGCACCGCAAATCTGCATCTCGATTTCAGCCAATCGATTCTCAACTTCCCACTGTTGTTGATTCAGTTTAGCGCTCATTACCGCGTTTTCAGACTCCAAGCAAACCAGACGTTCCCGAAGACGTTTAATTTCAGCCAATAAAGCTTCGTTAGTGCCTAAAAGTGGCGTGGCACCTTCGCTCACCAAATGCGTCATGCTGCTGGTTATGCCTAGAAAAAATAACGTATATCGTCTTATCGATCAAGTAGATCAATATTGGCATGATTAATTAATTTGTTCGTATCGCGTTAGCCGATCATTTGTTACATGTATCTGATTGATTCGTTGTTGACGAAAGCAAGGCAAGAAACGTCTATTTAAGAAATTTCTTTGCTTGCAAATTGTTTCAACATTTTGCGTATAATTCCCTCGGCTAAAACGTACTTGTTCTAGACGAATGACTTCATTTTTCATTGGATTCATTCAGGCAATATTTCCTTATTGAACTGTTTACGGCGACCCGTTTACAACGGACGAGTGCTAACGTCACGAATAAATTGCTAGTAGGTAACGAGTCTCTGTTCGATCTTCGATGAACTTTTAATATCGCAACATATTACGTAAGATCGTGAAAACGACTATAAATAATCCGATACTCTAAAGGAGATGGAGAGTTTCATAAATCGTTTTTCGACTAAACAAAATATTTCATGCTATTCGTAAGCAGTTTACTCTGCCGCTAAAAAATCGAACAAATTTCTTTCTATCTACGAGTAAATCGAGTTTAGGTTAAGTTTGGATCGTCCATTAAAATCTCGCAATATCACCGGACAAACGACTCTTTACGATTCCTTCTACGAACAGCGGGCAACTGACAGAAAAATCGCTACTGCGGTGCGTGGATCCTAATTAACGACAGGTGCGTCGGAGTGGTTCCTTCCTTCCCAAGTAACAATTTTTCCGGACCTTAAACGTCACAGTCGAATCGTACTCGAACTCTATATACCAAACGCATATATATTCGGACAAGCTTTCGTAGCACGGTCAGCCGGAAAAATAAAAGCTCCTACGGAAAATGATCACGAGTTTCCAACTCATTCGTACTTTCGAACGTTCGTTCCCTTTATCTCGATATTCTTACAAATTCTTTCTTGGCGATGGGTAGCCTTTTAGGTGAACCGACCAGTAAATCAAAGGATACTGTGCATCAGGCATGGGAGCTTCGATTCCAACGGAAGAGGAAGAAGATTCCTTGGTGATTTAACGTCCATTAAATCACGAAGGAAAAATGCGTTCAATCCGAAGGTCCGAGAGTTAAGAAAGAGAATCGGGGTCGAAGAATTCAGAAGGAGGGCGTATATTTCCAGTCGGTGGCGTTCAAGATGAAATACTTGCCAGAGTGGGTGGACTGTCTGCCGGCGGATGGCTGTGCGGCCGCGGATTGCGGTGCCCTGGCGGTCTGATCCTCGCTGCTGTGGCCGCTGCTGGTGGCACTCATCGGACTATCCATGCTCCTCGCGACGACGTTGCTCGCGTTGACGTTGCTGGCGGTGCTGGGCAAGCCGCGCGACGTCACCGGACTAGGGCTGGGGGAGAACAACGAGTGGCCAGCCGAGTACGCGTGAGTGGACTTGGTGTCCACCGGTGAAACCCACATCTCCTCCAACGGTATACGACCTCGTGACTCCACGAGGCCTGGCGTGCTTTGACATCGTCCCATTGCAGCTGAAAGTTCGTATCGTGGGCGTAAAACGTCATATGCCACAAGTATGAAGTTCGGTTGTCGGAGGAACAGTGTTGCTTTTAGTTTTTGGAAAGGCTTGTAGTCTGTTTGAAAATGTGTCTTTTAGATTTTTTTTTTCTTTTTCTCAGGAGTTACGTAGACTGACTGTTTTTTTTTTTTTTTTTTTTTTTTTTTTTTTGTGAGGTAGTCGCAGTTAGAGCGTTCTAAATGAAAGCTGTTTGAGAAGGAGGTGTGCGTGAGGTTGGAGTTTTGCTTAGTTTATGCGCAGCCAGTTTGATACTTTCGCATAAATTTTAAACGAAGTTTTCTAAAGTTTTGTATTTTGCGTGTTCTTATCTCGACAGTGTTTTGCTATGTGCGAGTAACAGTGTTGTTTCTGGTCTCGGTAGGACTTGTAGTTGGTTTCGAAAGGTTTCTTTTTTTCTTAGTATTTTTCAAGGTTTACGTAGATCGATCGTTTTGTAAGACAGTTCGTCGATTAAATGGATTCTACTTGGAAAGGAGATGTGTAAGATCATTGTCGTAACTAGAAGTTTACTTCCAGTTGGCGCATGTTACAGAGTTCCGATATATTTGGTGTACTTAAATAAATGTCCCATTAACATCTGTAAGATTAAGACTCGTCGAAGTACGATCAAGTATGAAATTCGCATAGGCTGAAAGCTTCTAAAACGTCTGCACCGCTCAACCGAATTACGTTTTTCCATTTCACGTCGATACAATTTTTCCGAAAATTAACGAGAACTTACAATCGCAACATCATCGCGAACGGTAGTCCCTTCGAATCCAGCTTTCACGAACGCGCTTCGTATCGATCGAGCTTGTACAATGGATTTCGTTATAACGTTAATAATATTCGATTTCACTTTAATTGGCTACATTATTCGCAAAGATAGAATTTCCTCTTACAGAGTAAAGGCCGCTATACAATAATCAACGACGCGGAGCTAAACGAAAGTCGAATATAACGATCCAAGTAATATAAATATAAATCCAAGCGATCCAAGTAATTCCGCCGCTATATTGCTAACTAATCGTAAATCCTTCAAGCAGAGATGTACACGAGTTTCCACTAGGCGCGGTCCGTCGCAAGCTCGACAGCTTTCCGCGAGCTGAAACGCAACTTCGTGTTTCCAATACTACAAAGCAAACACGCGAACAACATCCTCGTTACTCTACGTCGAGTTGCCTTGACAAGTGCGATCTCCTTTTTCTCCTATTCTTTTTTTCCTCTCGAAATTCGTCTCAAGCTCGTTCGCTGTGTTCCGCGTTCGAGTCCTTTGTTCGAGAACAGGCCTCGCGGATCTGCTCGCGCTTCGCCAATGCCGCCTAACCGCCTCCCATTTTCACCACGGCGAGCTTCTTTAATTAAGCCACCGCCTTTCTCATTGTGCAGCAGTGCGGCAGTGCAGCGGTGCTGCCTCTGCGGTTGTCGAGTTTTGCGCGAGCGCGCGCGCATGTGTGTGTGTCTGTGTCGGTGTGTATATACGGCGCTTGGCCGTCTCGAGCTACATACGCGTGTACACGTAAGTAACGATGCGACTCGCCGGTTCGAAAGTTCGTAACAACTGGCAACTTTCTTTCAACGAAAGAACAACGCCAGGGCGAACAGGACGACGAGCCGCGCGTTTGTTCGCTCTTCAACTTCCGAATTAGTTAATCGAGAGGCCACGTTCGTCGGCGACACACCGAGGATCGAGAATTTCTTCGCGACGTACCCGCTGGCCGTTCGCTTGGATCGCTCCTTTAAAAGATCCTTTTAAATGTCCTCCGCGAGCTTCCACGGTGTATCGTTAGAGCGAGAAAGTAGTTTTGTTGTACTTTGGCGCTTTTTCTAATTGGTTTCAACGTGGCCGCAACGCACGGAAGAAGGTCGTTAGTGGGCCGCGGATATTTATGCAAATCTGTTTTCTCTTTTTCCTTTTTTTACAGACGAGAGCAAAGAAATGACGCCAAGATTCAGGTAGTTTAGTTGGTCTATCGAGTCCAACGCTGTGCGTCGAGTAATCGATATATTTCTCTACGTCTCTCACAGATGCATGAACATCCGCAGCCCGATCGGTAGCAGAGCCGTGCGTGTAGTAGAGAGCTTCGATTTTGTCGAAATCGTTCGCTAAAAATTTGATAACTCGCAATCGTTGGTGAGATTTCGATGGAAATAACGATTCGCGCGGTTTGTTATAGTTCTCCTCGGAACGTAATACACGTAGTTCGTATCGCGTGGCAGATTTCTTACTCTTCTGGCAGTGTCCTATTCGTTTCATTCTGGCGTTCTTACACGACACGCTTGATATTTGTCGGTACGTTACATTGTTCACAGATTGGCAATTCTTGCTCGTGCCGCAAGTACGAACGGGTTAGAGCCGCGTGATTTATTCTAATTCTATACGTATACTTTCAACGCGTGAAAGAGCTGTTCCTTCTTTGCAAATATCAAAGATAATCTTGTTCAAACAGCTAAAGTTTCAATTAAACAATACGTAAATACGTAGGAAGAGAAACGATTAGCGAAAAGTCAGCGAAATCGGAAATTCGTAAAAATTAGTCCTTCAATTTCTGGATATCGAACTTCTTTCTTACGATTTTTATCAAAGTTTATCGGAATCTAAATTTTACCAGAGATCTCCAGTCTTCGTTGCTTATTTCAAACTTTTCAAACTATCCACACTGCGTGCCTTTAAGAACGGATTATAATATTGCGCGAGTTGTCCAACGATTCTATCTTCCTTCACGAACTTCCATATACGTGTAATTCTTCTTCGATAACTGCCTTTACGATAACCTTTTTCCGAGCTATTGTAGCTTCGATGGCAGCGTTCGTTCTCTGCATACGTACAACCATGAATCGCTTGTACTTCTGTTCCTTTGGTCACTCAATCACGTCATAGAATAAAAGGTCCGAATCGACACGCGTGACTGGTCGTATTACGGGCCAGGATTTTTGACAGTTATAGCGACCGTGGATATTTATTACATCCACTGGTAACATTTTTCTTTCCGTAGTTTATTTACCCAGCCGAGGCAGGCCTTTCGGTATATCGCGTTTTCGGATGTCGAAACGTACGAACAGAATGTTCATACAAATAAACGTCGTTCTTGTGCCTATTGCCCACTGGCCGAAGTAGGCACCAGGTATCGCGATAGCAACGCGTGTGTTACGAGTCTAAAGTTTACCGTTTTCGACGTGTCGCGTGCGATGTTCGAGCAGAACGACGAAAGACTCAACAACTAACGGACAAAGCCGCAAACGCGATATATTTATTCCTCATTTTCGCGCTATTTCGGCTTGCAGAGGCGGCTGCTAAATTTTCTACCATCTGTTGCAGAATACTCGGTGTACGAGGGTAAATTAATAAGTAAATCGCATCTCCGTGCTAACTTTCGCTCTAAACTATGTAATTGCTGTTAAGCGGGTAGACAGATTCGGTTAGAATTGCTGGTAATGCAGAGCTACGTTTCAACTCGTTTGCATTCGTCAACGATACACGTGCACGTGAATACATGTACAAGATGTTTATCCAGAAGTGTTGCTGTTCCAGCGACGTTTCGCGGCTGCAAGATTACGACGACTCGAATGTGGTTTGCGAGAATCTTAGATCGATGAAATTTGCGAGAGCGGAACGTGTTCAGCCGTGGATCTGCGACTAACTGGCGGAAGCGTGATACGAAGAATACAGGGGAAGAACGCGAGTGTCGTCGTTTTATTCCACTCGGCAACATTTCTCGTTTTTCACGGAAGAGCAGATTTAAAAATCACGGTATATTGTCAATCAGTCCCATTGTTACGTTCGGAACAAAAGAACCACGTGAAGTCTTCGTCGCCACCATTTTCCAGCATTGTATCTATCCTAATATCATACTTTTTATTGAGAACAGTACGAGGAATCGATCGACGCGAACAAGATCGTAGGGTTCCATAAAAAAATCGCGCTGCGCTAACCCAAACCTAACCCAAACCTCTCGATAAACAATGCAAAATTGTTCTTTACAATTTCCTTCCATAGACCCGGCCAGTTGCCAGTCTCATCCCGTATAGTTGCGACAAACGCTGTGTATTCTTCGGTCAACGTACGCGTATGTTGCACGCTGAATCTTATTTAGTCATTAACGGACTTGTTTAGTCATTGCTATAGCGCGTTCGATGAATCGAGTCGGTGCAGGTACACGGGCTTCGGACACTGTATCGCAGACCCTGGAAGCGACAGCAAACCCTAACAATAAACCATGTAAACCGCTTCTCGACCGAACGTTCGCCAGCCAACAGTCCAAGTCCCTTGCGTCTATCACGTGCCTAGCAGGCAAATGTCCCGTTTACCTCGACTGACTCGAATCGTTGAACGGATCAGTGTTGCGTTATTGGTCAATTATACTGAAATATATCTTTTAACGTCGTTCGTTAATCGGCAGACCTCGGATGAAAAATCGTAAGAAGCAAAGCGACGAGCAGACGGAGAACTCCGTCTATAGAGCAGCGATTTTCAACGCGTTTCCATCTCACGGCACGCGCACACTCATTACTGGAATTCCGCGGTAGACCGAAAGATACATTACGCGTACGTGTTCGGTTCGAGGGAATTCGCGGCGGTCTGAGATATTTGCTCTTTTCGAGAATTCTGCCGGTTGAAAATCGCCGTCGCAGACAGTCGACGAAGCTCGACGTCGTTCGAGTCGTAGAATTAAGCGGCGTTTAGAGGCTCTTACCTTTCTCGAGAGGAGCCCTCTTGTATTTTTCCAATCTCTTCACCGCGATGGCTTCCAGTCTGATCCTAGCCGCGGGATACTCCTTCAGAACGTCCCACATGTCCTTCTTGCTGAGGACGAAGAGGTCCGAGTAGCCCACCGAACGTACACTGGCTGTTCGCCGGTTACCTGCGTCGATGTAGCCATTTATTGGTTATCGAGATGCATCAAGCTTTCCGTTGTATCCGCTCGGAATCGATCGATCGACCGATCGTTCCGCTATCGTACATCGATCGTGTAAAGCTCGTCGCCCGATCAACAGCACGTGGCCTGAATGGCGCCAGACCGGTATCCACGTACTCGCATTATTTGCGTGTATTCTAATTAACAGAAGTGCGTCCACTCGACGACAACAGCACAAGCACTGACGCGCGTTCCTCATTGCCGACTCGATGGCAATCCTGAATAATCGTGGTAATGGGATCTAGAACGGGATTCTAACTTACGAGACACCCGGGTATCTCGCGAGACTTGCCTCGAAACGAACCGACTTTGCCGCTTTTCGACTCGAAAGAAGAAACTGGCGTATAACTCGAAACACGCGGCTGGCTTCCGCGTTCGAACAAGCAACTCGCTATTGCTTCTTCTCTATTCCGACTGGTCGTCGGAGCGAGAGATCCGGAGACGAGAAAGAGATTCGCGAAAGCAAGAAGCTATAAATCTTTGCGATCGAGCGAACAGTGACGTCGTTCGGCAGAAGACGAATAGGATACGTATAACGCTCTCTCATTCTGGTATTGGCGATCCGAATCGAGACTCTCCAGAGTTTTAAGCTTCGAATCCTGTTCCTCGAGCGATCCGAAAAATCGTCGTCGCGTATACGATGCAGATTCCAAGCGATTCGAACTGTTTCGGATCCTATCGTCCGACTGGTTCAAAGCTGATCGTTTCAATCTTCTACGATCGTTAATTTCATTACTCTGAGCTTTTACAATCACTATAAATAACATCGTAGATGAAATGTTGGTCTTGCGTTTGCCGCTCTAATTTTTTTAAATATCTGTTCATCGACGTCCAAGGTGGAATCTTTGTTCATCCTTGATTAATCGTTTAGACACATAGCGCATGAAATTCGCTGTTGCTCGTTCCGAATTTCAAGATTCTCCTGCTTTTCTATCGTCTGCCTTCTCGTCGAGCAACAGCGCTGTTCCGGTAATTTCCTTTAAATAATAGCAAAATGTATCATTGCTGATTCGTGGACAGCCGAACGTCGTGCCGGTGCTGTGTCGTTAAATGGGCGATAGTTGTGAATATGACGATGCTGAAGGCTGCTTTACACGTCGATGTCACCCAACGATACAACTTGGAAACCATATCAAAGCATAACCTTGGCTCATAAGCCGTAAAAATCATGCTCGACAAAATTTCATTGAAAACCGACAAACTACGTGATGTTTCATATCTATGTATTGTGTGTGTGTGTGCTTTAGTGGGATCAAGTTTTCTTGTCATTGTAAAGAGCGTCATGTGTCGATACGTATATGTTATGTGTATATTTTCATCGGAATAAAAATTTGTTTTATGCAATAAACAACGTAATACGCGTAAAAACAAGGAAAGACGAATATTCCATATCTCTTTGCCTAACTTTTTAATCGTTACACAATTGTATTAACAGGTCGCTTAACATTTCCTTTGACGAGTCACTTATCTCTGATTCTCAGAATCTGATTTTTTATTCTTAATATTATAACGAGAAAATTGTGAAACTGGAACCGTTCGAAAGTGTCGTGCAAATGCTTGTACGTCTTAAACAGGGTTTTTAATCGAAGGCAGCTACTGTCGTATCGCAAAGTATAAAATTCTTGTCAAATATATATTTTATTCTCAACGCGAGAATTGATCGTAATTTTAATAAATAAATAAAAAGAAATATATATATATATTTTAGAAGCATTAATGCGTTTCGGACTAAGAGCGTGAAAGGTTGCTATTTGACGATGCACATCGTAAAACAATGGTGAATTTCGAATCACGGTTCATTCGCGCATAATCTCTTTTTTCACATAACATGTATATGTCGCTCCTTTACTGTTAATTATAAAACATTTATGTTCAAGAAATGGGAACACAACTTTTGATGCGTTGCATATTAATTATTAATTATTAATGGTGAGTGCGATTTAATTGGTAAAATGGTAAAAGGGAATAATTCACTGTAATTTATTTGCTAGAGTTAAAAGGGGTAAAATTCGATTTATTCGCGGGTGTGTACACAATGTTCGGACATGCAAAGTACCTATTTGTATTGTACGTTGGTAAACACGGAGAAATGCATGTATTTATTCCCAAACTAATTGACGAATGTCCTATCGATGACTGAAATGCAAATATGCTTTTGTTCGTACACGTAATGTACGCGATATCATACATCGAAATGTTTTATTTGCTCCGATAAAAAATATATATTTTTGCAACGCGAATGGCGAGTATCGCCCGTACGACGATACAAACCGATGGCGATTTGAGTGAAATTCGATTAATTTCCTTCTCGAATCGTACGTTGCAATAGCTACGCTGTTTTTGTAAAATTTGTTGGGTCTTTTGCGCGATATTTACCTCGCTCGTGGTTTAAGAAGTTTCTAACGAGATGAGATTGTTCGTTTGATCGATACTGCATAATATATTCATGATATATTCCGCAAATCATGCTTGCTAATACTGACGAAGTTGGAGAATCGCTGTCGGCTATTCTTCCCAGCGAAAAGTGTTTGATATAAAATTTGTTTTCCACAGTAGATCGTTCAATATACAGGAAACTAACTACGATAATTAGTATACGGACATATATAAGAAGGTAATGTAATTTTCCAGTGCAAATTAGTCACATCCGTGGGCACGAATCATTGCAGCAATAAGTTACAATAATTATTAAGAGACTACGTTAAAAAATGGTAGAGAAGAATCGTGAAAAGTATAATAAGATAATAAGATATAGGTAATTAAACAGTGCACTGATATGGGCAATAAAGTAGAAAAATATGGAAATGAACGTGAGCGAAGAAAATATTTACCAGATATATTCGACTTATGCACTCTCCCCCTTGTCTCTACGCGAGAACACAACATTTTTTATTCATCGTTGACCATTATATTTCGGTTATATCGATGATTATAATTAGACTGTCGTACGAATACCGATTATTGTTAGAATTAAATCTTTATGAAAATATCACAAACGGAGGACAGAGATGGATACAAGTTGGTGAAACTGAATTATCCTGTAACTTATTAAACAGTTGGTCAGAAACGTGTACATGATCAACGATGCGAGACGTTCGCGAAAAAATTTCGATAATTGACGTTCGTTGGAATTCAAAGTTGCTCGTACGAACGATGGATAAAAAATGGCCTGTTTCGCAGAGACGACTCGCAAATATTTCCTTGCGCAGATAGATCACGGGTAAAATGTATGTTTCAGCATGTCATAGAAGCAAATCGATCGGCAAACGTAACCAGAAAGAAGACGAAAGAATGCTGAAAGAGCATGTCCAGTTTCCAAATGGGTCAAATCTAAACTAGGTATTCTAATGTTACTACGAAAGCAGGAGTGTCTAAAGAGGAATGATAAAAACAGGAGTGACTAAAAAGTACAGTGACTCACGAAACACCCTTTTATGTGACCTTTTTATTTGAACACCAACTAGAACAGAATAACTTTCTTAATATCCGACCAAACGATTTCAGTTTCTTTTGAGAAGTTCGATTAGTTTACTGGATGACGTGTAAAAAAAGCTTGAAAAAAAAAATTGCAATTCCAGTTACGTATAGGTGGTACATGCTGAGAAGTTCATCTACTGGCGTAAATCTACCAAATGTATTTTCCAAATCTGCTATATTGCGTACATACGACGACAAATTGCGGACATACGATCAAAAATTTGTCGGCACACACAGCCGGAAATTATCCTCACCGATTGCTGGAACTGCTGGCACGAGGCAGGCATCGGTGATATATCTTTGATCCGTATCGACGTAATTCAACTCGATATCGAATTATCGGAATGAGAAAAGTCTTTTTTATCTTCTATCGTATCGTTACGAGATGGCCTTAGTCAGATTACTGAGACTCGTACGATGAAAATGATACCGGATATGGCTATATTTGAGCAACAATTTTTAACCGAACTAAAAAAATATGTGATATGTGATCGGGAGTAAGAAATGAGCCGACTCTACGGTATCGTATTACTAAGAGTTGAACCGGGTTCGGGTTATGGTTACAATCGTTGGTATTGCGCTCTATCTATTCCGTTTCACTCGCACTGCGAGTGGTTCTCGCTCTTATCTTCGATGCACGCACGGTAGAGCACGGTGGAGTGAGCACGAGTCCCGATCCATGTATTTGCCATGTATTCGGACACTATAGCATACAGAACAGGACGCGTCTCACCGCTTAGAATATGTTGTCAAGGTCGACATTCTGAACAACTTCTTCCTAAGCACGTTCCTACCGCTGGATCTCAGGTTCCGCGGTATTTGCAAAGAACTTCGAATTATCTCACTTCGGTTATACTTCATTTTGGAACAGGTGGTCGCATTTTTACGCAATCCAACCGGAATTTAACTCGTTAACGGAAGAGATTGATATCTTGTACGTAAAAATGAACGTGTCGTGGGTTAGGTTACAGCAGTAGGTGTATTGGGACCTTGGCAACATATCTCAACCTCGTTGAAATCGTTGAAAGCGTGTCCTTTCCTGTATCGCCGAAAAGATTGTAATAACGACCTTCGTCGTTTTTTCCGCGATTCCAAGGTACTGCAATTTTTCCACGACTTTTTTTTTACACGTCATCGATTAAATTAATCGGCAATTATGCAGGAAAGGGGACCTTGACTCCAATGATCTTGCCCTTGGAATGCGTCACTGAAGGGAAAGCTCCGAGTAACATGCACTATGTTCTAGGCGATCAAAAGTTAGGTTAGGTTATCCATGGAATCTAACCTAACCTAACGTAACTCAACCACAAGTTACCGCTATCAGGATTGCAATCGTACGCAAACGCGTATTGCAATTTCGTCATTAGCCACTTATATCGGGACAAATGCAACGCAACTGCCGTTTTCTTCTTCTCGCAACTTTCGAACCGCGATCGTCCCGCGTTTCGGACAAAGCGCACGCGTTATTCAAGAACTTCCAGCCTACGACATATCCGAAATTCAACGAAACTGTAGTCGAAGCCCCCCCTCTTTCTGCATAATTACCAACTGGTCGATCCAACTTCTCGAAAAAAGCTCAAGTCGTTCGGTCCAATATTAAAAAAGTTATTCCGTTTTAAAGGGTGTCCAAATACTTTCGTGAGTTACTGTATATGTTTGTCCGGTTGGATCGATCGACCGACACGACCCACGATTGATTTTCTCCCGCTTTCGGCCTTGTCTCTCGTATTTTCGGAACGCTCGGTATTTTTATCACGGCCGAGGCCGTGCACAGAGGCCCCAGTGTTATATAGTATCATTTATTTTCGTACGATATCTATTACGTTCCAGTAGGTTGTGTTGGTTTATCGGCTGGAAGACAATAATCGATAAAAACAGAGGGTCGAAGGCTAAAGGGCAATACGTGTCACGGGCCTTGTTCAATACGCATCGACGATCTCGCAACGATTTCGCCCTATCGATTTTTCTTTAAGCCTTGATTCGCGCTAGCGATCACGCTACGGCCAGGTCACGTCAGGTCAGGCACCGGTCAAAATCGCTTATACGCGACCCAATGGAAGCTAATGTTCATCCGCAGCAGGTGGTTCGATCGAGTCAAGTGAAAATCTCTTGACCGGTGCGATGACTCGACACGACCTAATCGTTTTACCGATTTTCTAGATTTCATATTTTGCATCGGATACTTTAAACGTTCTGCAGATACAATACGCGTTTCCTTCTCTCAATGGATCGAATATTCATGACCTACATTACGAGCGAATGTTTCGTAATTTCAACGGAAGCCCAACCAGATTTGTTATATCTGTTCGGCAACAACAAACGAAAAATATTGAAATAGAAGAACAAAGACCGTTGTCCAAGCGTCGAAGTAACAAAGTGTTGTGTGTTGGTTATTCAAATTCGTTGAACGCACAATAGCCGTGATGTCGATACTATCGTAACGAAAACTCTGTTTGCTTTGTTCGCAAATGTATGTTTGAAAAAGAGAAAATAAAAAAAACAATTTTAAATGTATCACCCCGAGATCGGCAGAAACTTGTCAAAAATCTTTTAAAAGTCAGTAACGTGCAATAAAGTGCAACGAGGTTTGAGACAGTAAAAGTATCTACTTGGTCTGCAAATTACTGAAACCATTGAAAGGTCCATTGAAAAGATGATACTTCCCTCTACCTAAAGCACTCGATTTCAACGCAACAACATCTTTTTTTAACAAGCACGTTTGTTCGTTGCGTGGTCGTCGGGAGCGCAAGTGGCAGGAGGAAATCGACAATAGGAATGTCGGTGACAGAGAAAGTACAAGAGTAAAGAAAGACGATCGTTAGTAGAAAGTTGGGTTTGAAGATCGGCTCATACCGGCTCGGCGGGTCGCCCTCTCACAGAGTAGTAAGAACGTGAATCGTGAAAACGTGATCGTGAAATACGAGGGGGACAGCTCACGGGCCCCTGGTCCGCTTGGAATATTTACCGCACTCTTTACCTGCAGTCCTCATATTGAGAATGCTGATCTCCCCGAAGTAGGAACCAGCCTTAAGGGTAGCCAGCACTGTCTTCCCGTTATCAGCCACCACCTGCAGCCGGCCTCTGTTCACTATGTACATCTCCTTGCCTACCTCACCTGCAACACACGTTTCAAAGAGGAAAGTTAACACAATGGAAATCCATTCGCGCGAACAACGGATAGAATCGAGGACAGAAGTAAGCGTGCGAGTAGTGGGAGCGGATATCGGTGTAGTTTGATCGAACCGGCACGGTCGGACCTTGGTAGCACGAGTCTCCAGGGAGGAGCTAAAATCTTCCAGTTATACAGCTTTCGACTTATCGAAATCTCCGGCTAAAAGAGATTTAACAAAACGAAAATTCCATGTAAAGCAAGCAGCTTCGTACAAAGGCGCAGTTTGACGTTCGCCTTTTCCAAGAGGGTCGGAATTTTACGCTTTCTCTTGGAAATCGTTTTGTTCGACGTACCTAAATGCCAAGGTTAATGACAGGGTAGAAGATAGTATTATGCGTTCGACCGACGGAAGAATTAGCATACGACCGAATGGTGGACATTTTTAAAGGGAAGAAAATCTCGTTTAGCAGGTAGCGAGGAAGAAGGACGAGTCGCTATTCTACGAGCTGCGATTGTATAAATTGTTTGATCCCGACAGGTTCGCCGTAAATGGAGTTCTACCGTAACAGAAACACGATCGAATTTCGAGGAACCACAAATACGTCATTGGAAACGAGATTCTTTGGGGAGGTTTCGCCTAATCTTCCTGCAGAAGGTTCTGTCGGAAACGTTTGCTGCAACGTACGACGAATATAGAGCAAACGCGTATCAGGAATTTCTGCCAAGAATGTAAAATTCTACGATATCATGCGAACGTTACTTTCCCTCGTATCATATGCAAGATACGGAGATTCGATAGATAAATTAAATTCATTAATGTTCTATCTCGTAGTTGTTCCAAATTGATAGGAATAAATTCCAATTCTCCGAATTTTCGCTTACACCGCTACGATGTTTCACCCGCCGTGTATTATCATTCTTAAATTTTGATCGATAATGTTTCATTAGCAGTCTAGTGGGAAATAGAGCATAGTCGCTACTTGCATTACGCAAGCAGTTTGGTATCTTCTTGTGTGCTGCACTTCTGTGCCTGCTACCGCTTCGTCATCCTATGTTTGCTCTGTTCTACTCGGTTCGGCCTTGTTCTAACCCTGTTCCATCCTATTCATTGCACTACTTATGGGGATTAAACCCACATCAAGCGATGTCAAAGCCCGATTTTCCATGCATGTTCAACGTACACTTGCTAAACTGTTTGCCGTGAGACGTTAGATCGTTGAATAATTTTAAAGAAGTCAGGGTACCAGCATAGAAAATTTATGCTTCCGAGTTCGCTTCAAATTTAACATTCACAGAGCTGTTGCGAGAATAAAGAGATAGATATATTTAAAGCAAATCTGAAAATTTACGTTAAACGTCGGAGTAAAAATTTCACGCACCACAGAGAACCATGTTCGTCTCGTCGATGAAGCTAAATATCGAAGAAGCTAACGAATACGTATATTATTATTCGGATGATATTATTTCGGACGAAGTGGCTATCAAAATGTTAATAAAATGGACATACAGCGAGTGTACTTTTTAGTCAAATAATTCCCGGTGATACGCATAATACGTTCGTATAGAAGACGCCTACGACTGTTCCAACACTGTCGTCGTTTCATCCAACCTACGTACGTACGTACGTACGTGCGTGCGTGCGTGCGTGCGTGCGTGCGTGCGTGCGTGCGTGCGTGCGTGCGTGCGTGCGTGCGTGCGTGCGTGCGTGCGTGCGTGCGTGCGTGCGTGCGTGCGTGCGTGCGTGCGTGCGTGCGTGCGTGCGTGCGTGCGTGCGTGCGTGCGTGCGTGCGTGCGTGCGTGCGTGCGTGCGTGCGTGCGTGCGTGCGTGCGTGCGTGCGTGCGTGCGTGCGTGCGTGCGTGCGTGCGTGCGTGCGTGCGTGCGTGCGTGCGTGCGTGCGTGCGTGCGTGCGTGCGTGCGTGCGTGCGTGCGTGCGTGCGTGCGTGCGTGCGTGCGTGCGTGCGTGCGTGCGTGCGTGCGTGCGTGCGTGCGTGCGTGCGTGCGTGCGTGCGTGCGTGCGTGCGTGCGTGCGTGCGTGCGTGCGTGCGTGCGTGCGTGCGTGCGTGCGTGCGTGCGTGCGTGCGTGCGTGCGTGCGT